GTGGAGGAGGCTGGTCTGTATGTTATGCCCCGGGGCAGGCTATTTACCGTCTCCGGGAAGTGCCCCGGGGAGGGCAGCCCCTCCGGGGCCCCAGCTGTCTAAGCCCCAGAGTACAGACGGGACTAAGACAGTGTTGCTCATGACCCTAAACGTAGAAGGAAAGCGTCTTCCAGAAGCTCCCTAGGTCTCTGCAGTCATGGGGACAGGCAGACGTTCCCGAGGCAGCTCCCCAGAAGCACTGACGAGAGCAGTCTGACGAACGAGGTCATCACAGTGGTTAGTTTCTGCGCTGAGAGACGCCATCATGAGAGTGAAAGGGCCACTCACAGCCTGGAGCGTCTGCAGTAAACGCATCTGAATATTCAGAAGCATGCATAGAACTGAAAAGTTCAAAGGCTCAGCAGCTCAGATGATCAGAAGCTTGGACAAGCACTTCACTGAAGAGGGTGTCCAAGTGACCCAGGGTTCGGGGTCACTAGGGGCCAGGAGATGCTGATGAAAGCCAGGTCTCAGCCCCTCCGCACTCCTGCCCACGACCGACTGGAACAGGCTCGTGCATGGCCAGTGGGAACGTACTTTGGTGCAGCCACCATGAAAAGCCTCCTTGGCTGTGTCTGTGGAGCCCATAGAGTCCTCTCTCAGGCACACATCCAACAGAAGGGAGAACCTGGTCCCCCAAAAGACACACAAGAGCCGCCTGAGGCCCGCTGTGCACGTCAGCTGCAGAACGTGCACGTGGTCCTTGGGCACGTGGAAGACCCCCCGGCAGCCAGCAAGCCCAGGCCGCCTCTGTGCCGAGCCAGCCACGCTGCAGCCAGCGGTCAGGACCCCCGGCCGAGCCGCAGAGCCAGCATCTGGTGATGGAGGGCAGGGCGGCCATCGACCAGCCTCGGGGCGCAAGGGGTGCCACGTGTCCCATTCAGATGGTGGTTCCCTGGGTCCGTGTGAGAGTAAAAACTCACTGAGCTGCACACCTGAAGCTTGTGCGCTTCACGTAAGGTTAAAAACCTCCTTAAAATAATCAGGACTCATCGTAGCTTTACTATATTCTAACAAAACAAAGCGGTAGCCTTGTAAGTTTATAAACGAAAAAGCAAAAGTCCGTGTTTGAGTCCATTTCTGAAATGCACTTGAAGTGCAGCATCTTGAGAAATTACAATCAGAGGAAGAATAAAAATCCAGGACTGTTACGGCTGAAAGGCTCGCATGCCCTCCTGCAGAGCCCCCTGTGTTCACTGGCAGCCTGCGGCCGCCTTTGGTCCTCTAGCCTTTTCTGGAGTCCTGGGTGTGATCATGAAGTTGCTCTGGGACGTCACTGGCCAGCGACGTTTACCACAGCCCTGCTTCCCCGCAGTGCGAGGCGGAGGCCTGCTTCCTCTGGGCTGGCTTTGCTGAGCGGTGTTCTTGCGGATGCATTTCTGTAAAGTTGCACCCCAGCGTGACTGAGCTTCATGTTTTGAATACACTAGTGCCAGCCTCTCACTTGGCTTCCTGATTATCAAGGTTGCTGTTCACCCTGGAAGCTTGATTCCAGACAAAAAGGATTCTGTTTTTAGGGCAGACTGGGGAGAGTGTTTCAGTTTAACATTTGTGCTTTTTCATTTGTTTTGATCGCTCTCTCACTTTATGAATTTGTAAGGCTTTGTTAGTGTTCATGAGAATTGGTACTGTTCACGGTAGGTAGCATGGTGCCTCCCACCCAGAGGATTACACGCATGTTTTAACTTCTGGAACCTGTGAATGTGACCCTATTACAGACATAATTAAATTAAGGACCACAAGATGAGATCATCTTGAAATATCCAAGTTGGCCCTAAATCCAGTGATGAATATCCTTAAAAGAGACAGAAGAGGAGAGACACAGACATAGGGAGAAGCCACGTGGAGACGGAGGCAGAGACGGGAGGGAGGCGGCCACCAGCCCAGGGACGCCTGGAGCCCCCAGAAGCTGGAAGAGGCAGGAAGGTCCCTCCACTGGAGCCTCCGGAGGGAGCGCGGCCCCAAGACAGCTTGACCTCAGACGTCTGGTCTCCAGGACTGGACGAGGATAGGCTTCTGCTGCTTTAAGCTGCCCAGTTTGTGGTATTTGTTAGATGAGCAACAGAGACTCATAACACATGAAGGAAACAGCAAAGTGCATCATCATGGGGCGAGTTCGGAAGGCGTGTCCTAAGCGGGCCACCTGCAGCGGGGTGGCCCCAGAGGCGCAGGACGGAGGGGGGTCCCTGATGGCGCATCATACCCTGGTCTGTGCACCCTGAATTGTTGTTCTAGGGGAAAACCCAGCAACTTAGTACAGAGATAAGTTCTTTCTTAAACATGTAGGTCTGAGTTGTTAAACACAGGCTAGAATAAGCGTTCAAGTTTAAATTGCTGTGTGAATAGAAGCAGAATAGAAGCAGTGGCTAACTTTGTTCTCAGAAAGGCTGTTTTAAATACAATAACCTAAAAGCTCACCTCCCTGGTCTCCTTTTCCACCCCAGAATGGGTGGCACCCTTGCTGTACTCCATGCTGACACGAAAATCAAGGTCTCATGCTGAGGGAACCCGTGGGGATGCACGGGCAGCACTGGTGCGGCCTCGCTGATGGGCAGCCGGGTGGGCCCAGTGGTCCGAGGGACGAGGCAAAGAGCAGGAGGTGCCTGGCCCAGCCCCCAGAGGGGGTCCCGCGCTGGACATGCCGGGCTGGGTGCCTGTCCCTCCTTCCCGGCTCGGCACCCTCCGCGGGACCCCCCCGGCTGGGGGTGCCCTCTGTCGGGGCATGGGAGCCCTGCCTGGGGAGGGCTGGCTCCTCACCCATGGCAGAGCTGCTGGACATTCTGGTTGCCTCCCCGGCCCGCCGGCTGAGTCTGCGGGGTGCAGTGCTGCTGGCAGTGTGGCCGTGGTCTGTGTCCCCCGTGCCCTCAGGAGGCTGAGAGAGCGGCGCACGGGCCTGCTTGGCGTGCGACTCAGGGTCTATCTCTGAGTGCAGATGTTCTCCCGTGGGGACCTTACAAAGCATCATTCACAGGGTAGAAAACCTAGACAACGTACACGTTCGACAGTAGGATTTCTGTCTAATCAAATATGACACACTCACACATTTAAGAACCTACAGATAAAAATCATGGCTTGAAAGGTGGTCTCAGCATGGTACGTGGTGGACCGTGGTTACTGTGTGTGATGGGACACGGGGACTGTCCCCGTCTCCTGCTTCGTGTGCCTTCCCCGGGAGGCGCCAGCCCTCCCGCCCCAGCTCCCAGCCACACGCGCTCACACATGCTCCTGCATGTACCAAAATGCCTCTCCTCTTAGGACAGTGTCTGGTGACCATTCCCAGGCGTTTGGGCACGGAAACCGTGAAGGGGGTGGACGGGTGGCTGGGCCCAGGGCAGCGCCACGTATCAGCTATGATGCCGTCCACACAGCCCTGTCCTGGGGCCGCGATGGCCTCAGCTGGGGCAGCGGTCAGGCCTGAGCAGGTACAGGGTCACCTGGGGTGGTGTGTCCCCGCTACGGCCTGGCATTTGTGGGGTGCAGGAGGTCCCAGAGTAAGGAGCTCTCAGGTCCAGGAGAGCAGACAGGCTCCTGGCAGACCCACAGATGGCCTCGCTGACCTGTGTTCTGGAAGATAAAGAAATCTGGTTGCTTGATGCATGGACCCCCTTTACGATGTCTCAGGAGAGGCTGCACAGCTTGTTTAACGAGTCAGAAAAAATGTTCCGCTCGGTGTTTTTCCCACACTCCAGCGGGCGTGTTTCAGGAATGGAGCTGCAGAGCCGGCGCAGCCTCACATGTGTGCAGGGGCCTGGCGTCCAGGCCGCAGTGCTCAGGGTCACTGTGCTGGGCCGCCCAGTTGGTGCCATTTCAGTGGTGACATGCCCATGGCTGGGGGTCCGAGCAGCAGGATGGGTGGGGGCCCAGGCGGCACGCTTCACGGAGATGGTGGTGAGGGTCCCTGCCTCTGTGTGACCCGGGGTCCGGGGTGCAGGGCTCTCAAGCTGTCTGGTCTTCTTGCAGCAGACTGGCGGGCTCCCCCCAGCGAGGAGGGCCAGCTTCTGGTCAGCTTCCCAGCCTCTCCCCACTCCTGTGGGCAACGTGACACTGTGGCCTTTGTTTTCTCATCTGCTTCCCTCTTGGCATCTCCGGGGTGGCTGTGATGGAGGCTGGAGCCTGCTGTGCCTGGATGCTCGCAGGGGTCTGATCAGGGTCCCGCTCCTGCTGGTTAGGGTTGGTTCCACCAGCCTGCCTTTGGCCCGGCCGTCGGGACCCTGGGTCTGTCCCCTGGGCGCCGGTGCCACTGCACAGCTGGCGGATGTCCGCTGTGGCCGTCCAGGTTGTGGGCGGTGTGAGCGCCAGGAAGCTGCTCCCAGACGCCGGAGACCAGACGGCTGCCCCAGGCTTCTCCCGTGGGAGGAAATGCTGCCCAGTACTTGGGCTGCTCCCAGAAACCCCAGTGAGCCTGGGGTGAGGGGGTCTGGGGGCCTGGGCACAGGGCAGATGCCCCC